CGGGCGGGGAGAAGCCACCCCCCCCCCGCTGGCACTGGTGGCCGCTTTGCAGCCGCCCCGCACCCTCCCCGCCGTGCAAGTGTGCCGCTTGGCTCGCAGCGGCTCCCGTCCACCCGGCGCTGACGCCAGAGAAACAGCAGGAGGAAGAGGCTAATCTGGGAAGTTATTCATAATTCAGTGTATACAAAACAAGGCGGCATCCTAGGAGGGAGGAATTTCCAAATTACCATTCCCACAGCAACCCGGGCTCTGCCCCTGCGCACACCAACAGCTCGGGGAGCCGTGGCACGCAGTGCCGTCGCTTGCCAGCGTGGCGAGGCCAGCACCAGCCGGCACTCAGCGCACCAGTGCCATTCGGGGAAAAAAAAAAACCAGCCCTGGAAAAGGCGGCTTTCACGTAATCCTGGGTGAAGGCTGGCTTTCTGCTCCTGGATGGAAAGCCCTCCTCTCGCTCGCAGGTGGGAGCGCTCCGCACCACCTCGAGAGGCGTTGGATGAGGAGGGTTCCGCTAGGAACAATGTGGGTGCTCGGCAGGTGTCTCAGCAGCTCTCAAGTGCATCAACCATTAAGGGGGGAAAAAAAAAATGAAAGAAAGAAAAAAGCAGCAAGCAGATCAATCCCTGCCCTAAGGAGCTTTTGGATGGTTTCAGATCAGTTGCCGCCAGGCGAAGCCGGGCAGTGCCTGGCTCCTGTGCCCACGCTGCAGGTCACAGCCCTGCCGGCAGGTACCGGCTGCTCCCCCCCGCCACCCGCTCCGCACCAAGAGAGGGGCACGGGTATCAAACCGGTGTCCCGGCTCCCAGCCCAGCAGAGGCGCTTTGAGCAGAGGTGAAGGGGACTCAGCGTGCGACCTGCAGCCGCGCAGCAGAGCTTATTTTGGGCGCTTTCATGTCACTGCCGAGCGCGGGGCTGGAGGTTCAGTGCACACTGGCTTGCAAGATGCTCAAACCGAGCACAGCGGAGACCAAGCTGTGCATGAACAACGCGGCGTTTTCCAAAGACTTCAGTCCCTGGGATTTCTCCATCAGATCCTGATGCTGCAGTTCTCCGTGAGTCAGACCCCAGCATCCCTTTGAGCCGGAGGACAGAGGAGCCCGCTCCTCCCAGAGGCGGGGAGGAAGGAGGGAAGCGCTCCCCGACCCCAGCCAGCCCTGCGGCGGAGGGGAGAGATGCTCGGGACAGCACGTCCGAGCACCTCGCTGAACAGCACAGCGGGGAGGAAAAGGAAAACCAAAGGGTTTCGCACACTTTGCATCATCTCCAGCAGCCCTGCGGCCTCCTGCTTCTCCTCCCAGCAATGAGCAAACATCAGGCCACAGGGGAAGGGGAGGGCAGAGCTGCTGCTGCACCATACGAGCAAAGGAACAGCACCAGCCCAAAGCCCGAGGCTGGCAAAGGACCCGAAGATGCCGAGCAGCAGCTCCCCCGCTGCCCATGTGCCCATCCACCGAGGGGCACGAGTCCGCAGGGGATCAGTCACCCATCTGCCAGCATGTCCCCGAGCAGCATCCCACCACACATCGTCCACAGCCCCACGACCTGGAAACAGGGCTCTCCCACCTCCCCAGAGCAGAGAGACGCAATGGCACCCGCAATACAGAGGGGGAAACTGAGGCAGGAGACGAGGGAGGCATCGGTCTCCCTGCAGCCATCAGAGTGCATGCTCAAACCCTCCCCAAGGCCTCCTGCATCCCGTGAGATGGGGCTCCCCTGGGAAGAAAAAAGGGGTACTTGGCAGGGGTGGTCAGGCCAGATAGAGGAGGAGCCTCACGGGGAAGGGATTCCCATCCAGGGATGGTCACGGACACCGGCGACTGCTGCCCAGCAGAGATGCTCCACCGCTGGGGAGCGGAGCAGAGCACCCTTCCCATCTCACCCCGCGGTCGCCTCCCCACCACACGTCCCCACGGTCACCTGCGTGCTGTCCCCCTCCAGCCGGGGGGGTCGGATGCTGGACAGGTGAATGGTTTTGTGGTCCCCAGAGTTCAGCTTCACCACGATGGCGTCTGCGTTCAGCACCTGCATCACCTGGGGAGAGAGAGAGAGAGAGGCCAAGGTGAACACCGTGCCTGCAGGCAGCACGAGCCCTGGAGCCCAGCACTGTTGCGACACTGCCCAGGCTCTGGCACACACCCCGACCCACCCCGGCTTTGGCCCCCGGCAGATGGCACAGAGTGAGCGGCTCCAACCCCATCCCGGGTGCCCGGTGGGTCACTGGAGCAAATACGGCTCGCCGGCGCATCTGCGGTCCTGCTCTCCAAGCCCGAGGAGCTCAGCGCCGGTCAGAGCCCTGCAGGGTCCCCAGACGGTGACGCTGCGGCACACCAGCACACTGCCAGCCATGTGCCATCCTGTGCCGGGGCTCAGCCCCTCTGAGTTTCACTCCAGAAACAAAACCGGAGAGGGGACTGGACCACAGCCATCGCTACCGATGATGGACGAGCACCCATAGAGGAGGGAGCGAGCACAGCCCACGGCGGAGACTTTTCCACCCCACGATCGCGTCCTGGCTGATGGTTTTCCACACACCCGGGGAGCAAATTAATTAGAAAAACTGGTGGCAAAGGCAGGCAGGGCTGTGCAGGCAGGCAGAGGACAGCGGGGCTCAGGGCACACTGTTTTAATCTTCTCAGTTTTCATTAAATGCCGCTCTCCAGCCCAGATCGAGCAGCAGCAGGCAGAGCAGGACAAGGCACCCGGGTATTCCCGCTGGCAGGGCACGGACCTTCCCCTGCCTGCTCCCAGCACAAACCCAGTCCCCCCAGTCACACCAGGGCAAAAGGTTCCCATTGTCGCTCATCCATGACGAGCTCAGGATCGCAGCCCCATGCATCCCCCCAGAGCCAAGCCAGAGCTCGGGGGGAAACGGAGGGAGGAGGGCAAAGACTTGCCCCCCTTGCAGCACTTTTTGCCCCAGCAAGCACATCAGTCCCTCAAAGTGTGCTTAGCCAAAGGGATAACAGGATTATAGGAATAAAAATTAAAGCAGACACTGAGGATTGCCAGGGCTCCTCTTGGCACAGCAAACCCCCCCAGGGGACATCCCTACCCATGGACTCAGCCTCTCCCGGGACCCAGATCCTTTGTTTTTCATAGGCAGAACCGAGCCCAAAGCAATTTGCATGCTAAATGGAGTAATCAAATCTCATGCTTCAGGGCATCCTCGCCGCTGGAGGGGTCAGGATGGGACCCCAGCAGCACATCGGGCATCTATCCCTTCCCTCTCACAGAAGGCTTAGAAAAAGCAAGATGTGAAGGTAAGATACTGCAGCCAGGGGAGCTGCAGGTCAGATCTGGGGGCAAATCCTGCGCTACATTACACATCCATCACGCGAACACCGCATTTCCATGCCAGAGCTGCAGGAGCAGCGGTCAGATCTCATTTGTTCTCTGGCAGGAGGCGGCAGCAGGGCAGGCTCCTACCGGCAGGCAG